TTCCTGCTAAAGGATGGCTTTTCTGTCTTGGTGAGGGTGAGAGGTATACCAAGAGATGTAGCCATGCCAGCCTTTCCCCAGAGGCTGAATGCTCCTTCCACAGCATTCCTACCCTTTGCTGCCCCAGGAATGCTTTGCATTGCCCCTTGGGGGCTGGACTCTGCCCCCTTTGTCCACAGCATTCCTACCCTTTGCTGCCCTAGGAATGCTTTGCATTGGCCCTCGGGGGCTGGACTCTGCCCCCTTTCCTTATGGCCCCTTCTCTGTGGATAGCATCACTTGCATTGTGTTCTGCTGACATGCAGTCCAGGATGCCAGTGTCTGGGAATAACAGGTGTGTGAGGAATGCATTCACCGCACCAGGGCGGATGTCCACGAGCTCATGTTACAGTGAGGAATGGTTCGTAAAAGGCGCTACATTGGCTTGTCTCCTGCTCTCTTTGAGGCAATTAATGCGGACTCACCCAGAGGAGAACAAAAACTGATTGCCATTAGCTAGCTAAGTCTGCTGCCGTGTGGTCCCAGATCTCCCTTCCGCTATGTAAATCCAAAGTAGGCCTCACTGCTTCCACCAGAGTCACTGAGAGCAGCATCTGGCCCGTTGTGTTTGGCTTCCATGCCACTTGCATTAATGTGTAGTTGCTGCTCACCCCCAGTGTAATGGTTGTAGTTGTAAACTCTGTCTTTGACCGCTCTGTTAGTGGGTCACGGCACTGGCTGCAGTCTGACCGTATCTGGAGTAGCTGGTTTGCGTTAGCAGAGCCCTTTGGCTAATAAAAATCTCCTGCAAACCTGCTGTCGTCCTCCAGGAAGTCTCACGCCATGACCTGCCCTGTCTGTCAAGCCCTGTCGAAATACGTGGCTACACTCCTCTTGTGCTGCACCTGTAGCATCTAATGGATGGCTCGAGGGGCTTTCTAGCCAGCACTCTAGTCTCCCACGCCGGGGCTCTGCTTTGTGAAGAGGAGAGGGCCTCCTTTCCAAATGGTTTCTGGCAGTCTTGTTTGTACAGGCTGCGTCGCTCCACCGAACTCGGCTCATTGGCACTGCGGCTCTGGGGGAGTGGGCTTAGAGAGAAGGTGGGCATTTCTCAAAGCTTTGACTCTCTCGGGGTGCTTTGCTCTTTCTTAGGCTTTGATACGTGGCAAATGCACATCTCCCTGTGGTTTCTGGGCCCTGTGGTGTGGGATTCAGATATCTTGCATGTGATATTAAATGGACACGGTAAGCTTAGTTTATACACACCATTTCTCCAGGCTCTGAGGTGAGGCGGGGCTGCCAGGTATCTGTTGTGCCCCTGTCATTCACAAGGCTTCTTCTGCGTGCCGTTCTTCCAGGGCTCTGGGGACAGCAATGGAACTGACACGGTTTGAGCTTGATAAGTGGATCTGTCAGAGCCGTTAATAGAATCATAGAGCTGGACGAGATCTCAGGAGGTCATCAAGTCCAGCCTCCTGCCCAAGGCAGGACCCATCCCAACTTACCCAACACAGGAATACCCCACGGCTGCAGTAGCCAGTTCTCCCGTTTTCCTGGGTCCCTTCATTCTGCTTATGATTTTGACAAATGTCCTAACTCCCAGCAAGTAGCAGGTTCCATTCCTTAGAAGCACTAGACGAGTCCCTTGCAGTATTGTGCAAGTCCAGGGAACCTGCCGTACCATAGCCAGCAGTGCCGGTCTCCTTTGAAATGCATCTGGCTTTTCAGTAGCTGTCTTGCTTTCAGGGATGGGGGAGCAAGTATCTTGCTGTTCGCCCAGAGACCTTCTTGTTAGCTATTGTTCTGCAGAACCCCCTCACTTCTCATGCTGGGCAAGTCGAGGGAAATTCTGTTCTGCCTCTCCAACTATGCCCATCCCTTCTACCACAAGGGTTTTCTGGCTCCAGCCCAGGTGTGATCTCCAGCCCATTCGCCCTGCGCCTGGGAAGAAAAGCGGAATATCGACAACAGCGCCCTTTGCAAGGCATTTCCTGGCTTTTGAACACCGCACCCTTCCCGGTCCCTTGTTAAAATGGAGGCTGCGCCGTTTTGCCAGGGAGGGATGGACTGGCCCCCAGCACAGCAGCATCTGGCTTAAACCCCTGCACGTATTGACACCGGTCGCCTGTGGACCTGGAGCTTGTTGGGTCCGTGGTGCACTTGGGGAGAACTGGCTACTGCAGCCATGGGACATTCCTGTGCTGGGTAAGCAGGTTGCCTTCCCGGCTCGCTGTGGCTTTCCCCGTGTCGCCCCTTCCTTTGTCCCAGCTCTCGTGCCGCGTGTGGGGCGGCTACTCCCACCAGCGTTCAGTCAGCAGCCAGGGCAGCGCACGAGTGATGCCTCCCGAGAGAGAGGGACATATTCCGCGAGTGGCAGCCTGGCAGACTCCGGAAATAGTGGAGTGAGAGCGACTCTGTGGATTGTCTTGTCAGAGCTTTAAGCCGGGTGGCTTTTCTGAAAGCAAAACCCCTGTGATTTGTAGGTGGCTGCTGCTGCAGTGGGAGCTGAGCTGGGTATAAAACTCTCCCTTCCCCGCCCCGTCTGCACTGATAAATAATGGGACTAGGAGAGTAAATTGGAAGAATGGCTGATCTGATTAGAGCTGGCATCAGGTCTGTTTCGCTGCAGACACGGGGAGAAAATGAAGGTCTGAGGCCAGCCAGACGGCGAGCAGGTACAGGAGGGAGAGCAGTGAGCGTCGAGAAATGAATTCGGGAGAGCTCCCCAGGACCCACACGGAGGGAGCTAGTTCGCAGCACCTCCGGAGATGGCTGGAAAGTGAAACCCGCCCCAGAGTTTCGCCCTGTTTGGTGGGAAATCCTAGCCCCCTCTCTGCTTCTACGGGCAAGTGAGACAGCAAGGCTGTGGGATTAGTGTTGGGGGAGGTGGCGTCCTCTTTGCCGCCACATCAGAGCGCAGCTAATTCTACAGCTCGCTTGCCCCACTGGGATGCCCATTTCCATCTGCTCCCAATTTCTCCAGAGCACACTGGGAAATGAAATTGCTTAACGCTGCAGCCGCTCCTGCGATTGTCTCTTTACACTGCGCGGAATGTGACCTACCCCCAGGGCCTTTAATTTCTAGCCCTGTTCAGACCATTATGCAGCTGCGTCGGTGGAAGGGACCCCGTAGAAATCCTGACGTGACTGACATGTGGCTTAGTCTGGTCACCTGCCCGGATGTATGGAATGCTCTGTGCTTATTCCATCGGGCTGAGGAACGGAGCAGCAGATGGTCCGGCGCTCCAGATTGCTCCCTTTTCTCTTGAGTCCCTGCAGCAGTGGCTCCATGCAGTTATCACTCCATCCTGCGATGCCAGCCAGTAGAGTCTGCAATTGCAAGATCACTTTCTAAACGCGGGGTTTTGAAATGGTGGTAATGCCTCGAGGGTCGCTTGTGCAGGAGGGATGGGAATGAGTGACTGGTAGGGGACGGAGTAGCTGCAGCCCCGTGGGCCCCACCGCAGGCAGGGGCTGCTCTGACCGGCTGCAGCAGCCCCTGTCCATGGTGGGCTTAGCAAGGGTTGTGGCAGGCAGGCAGGGGGAGGCTGCTCCAGGCCCGCAGGGTTGACACGTATCCCCCTTGCTTCCCCCCGGGCGATTCTGACAGGTTCCCGTCTCGCGGTGGGTTGCCTTTGCGATCGGAAAAGTGACTAAAGTGGAGCTATTTCCTATTTCTTCCCCGTGAGCCCAGCTCAAACACACTTATTTCAAAAAATGATTCTGTCCCTGCTTGCTAGGGCTGCAGATGTCACCCAAGATCTGAAAAATCCAATTCTGGTCTAACTAGTTTACAGGAACAAGCATCCTTTGAAGATGTGAGGTCTGTCCCTGCCTCTGCTACACACTTCCCAGTGGACCTCGAGCACCTCGTGTGATTTCATTGCTTCCATTTCACCACCAGTAAAAATGGCGGTAACCCCAAATGTTAGGGATAAGTTCGTTTAATGGAGACCATGATGAGGGGGCATAAAAGTGCCTGTAAATAAAAATAACCTCCCACCGTGGCAGCGTTTGCCCCCGGCCCTGCCGTAGGTCATAAAGATTTGGCAAGCACAATTCAACTGACACCTTGATGCACGACACAGAGTAGACGGCATCTCGCTCTGCCCCTGCTGCAGAGGTGTTTCAGGGCGAACAAAGGTGCGGGTATCAGTAAAGTCAGCGGATCTCGCCCCTGTTAATAGTGTATACTGAGTACGGCGTGTGACCACTCACAGACCTTGGCCTGAGGAGTTCAAAGTCTGAGCCGGCCTCGGGGGGTCGCAGTGCGGCGTGGATGCTGTCGTCAAAGTGCCTTGGGATTTGCTGATGTCAAGGGGGCGGCGGGTGCTAGGTTCACAGGGGTAAGACGCGTGTTCCCAAGCATAAGGGGATATTGTGGAGCGACGGCAGAGACAGAGCAGCTGGAAAGGTCTGTGGGGTGGAAACCTCCAGGATGGGAGGTGAGGGAAGGCTGATGGGGCGAGCGGGGTGGGGGGCAGATGGAAGAGCCGCGGGGGGGGCGCTCCTGAGGCAGTTCTGCTGTGTAAGAAGGGCCCGTTTTTGTCACTTTACCTACGCTCTGAATTCAGATGATCTAATAGTTGTGGATTCTGCAGTTCCCGGTGTTCCGCTCAGCCCAGCCCGTCTCTGGAAGATCCCCAGGGTGCGTAGTCCTGAAGGACAGTGCTCCCTGAGTGTACGTGAGGAGGGAAGATTTCAGGGGCGTAGGAGATTCTTGTCTCTTTCCATGCTGTTGCCCTCCTTGTGATAAGCCCTTAGCACAGGGGCCTCCCGAGCCGCAGCTGCTAGGCCTGTCCATGTAGAGCTTTGAATTGGGTGCAAACCTCTACTCGAGGCGGCTCCGTTCCACAATCACTCGCTTTTGGCTTTGGACGGAAAGGAGCAGCTGACCCCCACCCAGCCGGCTAATGGGCTGCCCCGTCCAGGCCACACTGACCCTTTGGCAGCACTGCCCCTCGCGTCTCCTTTGGTCAGGAGGCTTCGTACCAACGTTTGGACTCTAGTTGTGCTCGCTGCACGTCAGGCAGCGATGTCTCTCCTACACCGTCCTCTCAGGCAGTCGCCCGTGCTGACAAAGGGCACGCTGGGAATCAGCAGCTCCCAGGCAAGGGCAAAGAAAACGGATAGAAAACAAGTCAGCTTTAGACAACCGCCTCCTAAGGAAGTGCTGCCCTGGCTAGTGCGTCCACGCTGCCCTGAGACACCCGTGGGGGCGGCGCTGTAAAATTGCAATATAGACACTTGGGCTGCAGCCCGGGATCTGAGCCCCTTTGAGGGGGTGGGTTGCAGAGTCCAAACGCCTGTGCTGCTGCTGTTAGCTCCATAACCCGAGGTAGCTGACGTGGTTCTGAGTCCTGGTGCTGAGGGTTTGTTACTGCTGTGTAGACCTACCCAAAACAGCAACCTCCAGAGAGGCTGCAGGCTGAATGGGGCACGGAAGCTAATTTCCTCTCTCCCCCTAGAAGCATGGTTTCTCTCTCTCGGTCCTGAGTTGCTTTGACAGGTGATCTTGTTACTCCTGCCCTACGAGGTCCAAGTGAGGACCTTAGCCTCCAGGGCTGTTAACCCTTCACCAGTGCTGAGGCTGTTTTCAGAGGAGGGATCTATCCATGTAACTTTCAGAGCGGGGAGAGGTTTTTTAGGAGAGATCAATCTTGTAAACTTCTAGAGGAGAGGAATGTTGTGACGCATTTTTTGTATTGGACCACATCCCCCAGGTGAAATTGACTAGTAAGGGGGAAACTCATGTTGCTGTCAAACTCGGCCAGAAAAGTATCTGGGACGAACACTGGCTTGTTAGCCCTGGTCTTGCTTTGGACAGTGCTTTTACCAGGCAAGAGCAATTGCAAATGCACCCACACAACTTTATTGCTGAAATGCTGATGGGTGTCTAGCGCTATACGACACTGTGATGGCCGTTACTAGCCCCAAGAACTGACAGCCTGGCTTTTAGGTGCAGATCATATAAATGCATTGGGAGCCCCCCGTTGTGTGGTGATGAAAACACACAGTGTGCTGTGTTATCTGAACTCTCTTGTCCAATACTGTGAGGAAGAGGACATTGAACGGTCATAAACCCACCGCAGAGTAAGTGAACTCGTAGGCCACTGGTAAATGCGTGGCTTTAGGTCTGAAAATTAGTACTAGAGGCAGAATCGTGGCATGGAATCAGATTTTACAAGCGAAATTGGTTGCTTCTAATTTCCCTGTGCCTGCATTGGGTTGTTTGGCTGTGAGACACAGCACGCGTTGTAGCAATAAGCTCAATAGTCAGGAGCAATGAGATAGAGAGCTCCCTGATGGGTCTGTTCTCCGGTAATAGTTCTGCTCGTGTTCACCCCAGCATCTTTTCCCTGGGAAACCCTTGAGTCTGCTGTCTCTGTAAAACAGACAGTAATTTTTCAGTCTGCTAACTTTGTCCCTAACAGATTCTCCGCCAGGGAATGGAGCGACAGGCCTATCCCTGTAACTTATCTCAAAACATTTTCATTGCGAATAGCTGTCGTTTTTTAGCGAGGCGCCATTAGCCGGGCAGGCTTATGATAGGAAATGAGGCTCATTCTCTAATAACAATTGAAATCTGCAGCCTGGTCAAAGAATGATCTGATTACTAAGCCATATGGCATGAAAAGCAGTGTGTTTTCTGCTAGGCGGTTGAAGAAGCCAGCCACTGACTAAAGCCAGTCAGGGTACATGATGATCCTCCAGAAATACACAGCCCTGTGTTATTTGATGAAGAATAGGAAATGGCTATTAAAAACTGGTCGAGGGTCCTGTCTTATATCTGGTGGATATTCACATGCTATGATGTCACTGGCAGCCAATCAGAAAGCTTCGTGTCTGTGCAGAACATTAAAGCTGCCCCGTGCTGTCAGATGTCTGGCTGTGTTTTAAGGATGCTGCTGTCCCCTAGGGCCAGTTGAGAATGTTGCCTTGCTCACCAAATAGCCTTTCAAAGCCCACCGAATGTCTCTGTGCTCGTTAAACGTTAAGAACCCATTGATCTGAAGTGCTGTTTGTTTTTTTGTTTTTTTCCCTCTGGCTTACCAGGGCCTGGGAGGAGTTTCATGGCCTGGTGAACAGCAGTGGTCGCTGATCGAACGCTCCCCCTCTCTCTGTCACGCCCAGGGTAGGGCCTCATCTTTCTTCTTACCTGACTTGACGGCATACCTCTCAGCCGTGCCTGCTTCCTGTGGGACGGCACTCCTGGATAGCTCATGGCTTGGCGTCAGTCCCGTCACCGTGGGCCGCCGTGCCAACGTCCAAACTAGGCTTTGAATCCAAAGGCACTAATAGTCTCACCCTGGGAAAAGCGACTCGCTTGGCATTTCCTGCCGTGATGCTGTCAGCCATTCAGCTAATGCATCCCCAGTTCACAAGGCGGCTGTGTCCAGACCCAGGGCCCAGGAGGCTGAGAGGTATGGCTTCAGCTTGTTTATATTGTCTAGAGCTGGCTGTTAGGAAACGGCGTTCTAATCAGAAACGAAGCGCATACGTGTAATACGCATTGGTAATGGCGTTTCCATCTCGGTAGGCAAGTCCTTGCTCTGGATGGAGGGCCTGGGCAAAATAGCTAGACTGTGTCAAGAAAGGCTAGTGAGAGTAGAGCTCCCACGGGCCTCCGTGAACGGCAGCCCTGCGCAGGTAAAATAGCTAGGTCCAGTTGTCTCTCAGATGGCCAAGATCTTTTCCATGCCCTGGTCCACTTCTGTGATTGTGGGTGTCTCACTGGTGAGGGGGCAGAGTGCTGACTAGTGACTAGACCTATCTTCTGTTGTCATGATGCTGGAGACCAGCAGGGTTGCTGTCCAGAAGTCCCTCCTCTTGCAGTGTAGCCCAGCCTGGTGCCCAGTAACGTGCCCGAAGGGGATGCGTCGCAAGCGCCTGCATCCCACCAGGCTGCGTCTGTGATAGTCGCAGCTCAGACCGGCTTCCGGTGTTCGTTGGCAATCATCACACTGCCACTGTTTCTCCGTGGCTTTGTCCAAACACTGCTTAGAGAAACCCTGTGGCCTTGGGCCAACTCGAAGGGCGTTGTCGTCCCTCTCTCGCAGGACTGGCGGTTGGGAAGGGTTAATGAGATGATGCTTGTGAAGTGCTGCATAAGCACTTGCTAATGTTTTATTATTAGAAAGACATTCACATGACCTTGCAGAAGAAAAAGCTGCCAGCTCAGGTTGTGAATTACCCGCCTTAGAAGACAGTATATGTGCCAAGTGCATTTGAGTATGTGGGGCATGTTGATTTCACTTTCTTAATTGTATCGAGTTGCCTACCCTGGACAAAGAGAGTCGGCAAGAACCAATATAGGATAGTCCACAGAGAAACACGTCAGGCCCCATATAATAATGGGGTGTGATGAAAGAAATCGCAATGGCAGTACTCTACCCAAACCCCCACCGAGTAAGCACGAACCTAAGAGTCCCACAGAGACCTGCTTTTGAGGTAAATTCTTAGCCATCCGTGTCTTGGCAGGGGCTAGGATGCAGCAGGGGAGACCATGGGAAATTGTCTGGTGGTAAATTAACTCTGAATTCAAGAAGAGTTTAGACACCTGTTCCCAAATGGCCATGCAGCCCCATTCTGTCAGTAGTGCACTCAGGAGTAGAACCGTTAGTACCGTTCTGAGAGTGACATCCAAGCGTGAGTCCAGGTAATAGCAGGGAAATGTACTTAATGCCCCAAATACCGGGAGGGCATGCAGCATGCAGTCCCCTTTAAACATACTCCTTGCTGGTTGCCCACAGACACACCAGCTTGCCCCTCGGGGATATCCCAGCATGCACCACGCTCAGCCACCGCAAGGCTTGCTAGAATTCAGAGGGTTAAGAAACCTCTCCCAGTCCGATAGCAGACGTGCCAGCAGGCCTTCCTGGGAGCCACGCGTGCCTTGGCGTCGCCGTGCTCTGGTCTGGTGCCTGACATTCTGAATGCCCCTGTTCCCTGCGGGCATTCAAGAAATCCTGCCTAAAGTCGTCCAGTTACAGACCCTGCCTCCCCAACAGGTGTCCCTCCCTTCCATCAACCTCTCTCCTGGCTGAAAAGACCCTTTCGAAACCTGCAATCACGACTTGTCCATCACATCAGTCCCGCGCTAGCAGCCGCCTGTGTCACTGCTGCCGGAGGCTGGCAGAAGGCACCGACGCAGAGGCTAATGAGGCAGCTCATGTTACCAATGTAATGTTGTCCTGTGCCTTCCGAATAGACACGGGTCTCGTGGCTAGTACCACGGTAGGGGCAGCAGCTGGACTGGGACTAGTCACACACGTATTGGCAGTGGGATCTCCCCCTCCATGTTTGAACTCAGAACTTCCTGGTCAAGGTACAGGATTTTGAAGGCAGGGCAATTTGGCGCCTAACCTTCAGTCCCTTTACCAAGAGACTGTGGGTTACAGGCTGAAGGCAAGAGAGTTCAAATGAGCCGGTGGCATTAGAGCCAAGAGCACAGATGCTAAACAAAATGACCTGCCATTTGTTTGGGGGCAGAACAGGTGTCTGTCTGTCTGTGTCTGTAATGAGCCAACTTAGTCCAGTCCTGAAACCTACAAGTCTAATGCCCCCATTACTGGCAAGTAATGTCCTGTCCGTTTCTAAATGGCTAAGGATGGAACCAAGAGTCCCTTCTCCATCTCGGCGTGCTAGTGAGCGGTAGCAGCTTGGAAGAAGGCAGATGCTGGTTGGATAGACTGGCTGTTAACTGGTGGTGACCTGGGAGGTGAACAGGAATCAGGCGGGCTGTTGCTCGTTGTCCCCAAGATGGTGGGGCAGATCAGGCTCTGTCTGTGTCTGGGGCCTCGTGCTTACCTGCATTTAACCTCTCCTCTCCCCCTCTCTTCCAGGGATAATTCGAGTTTTCGAAACACAAAAATCACATTGTGAGAACAAGGCGGACGGGAAACTCCTCTCGGTGTGAAGCCTCCGAGGGGTCTCCAGCCGGGCCCTGCCACTTCTGGAGGGCTGCGCAGGCTGGATTGACAGCGCCGCCCTTTTGCGCTCAGCCCCGGAGGAAGGATTTTGTTTGTGCCCCTTTGTGTTGGTGACTAATAAGAGGCCGGCCTGGCCTCACTGCTCTTTTCAGGGCCAGTGCTGGAGGCCGGCTTTTCAGGTATCAGGTGCCCTCCCCGTACCTCCTTCAGCACTTTCTTTCCATTCCCTGAGCAGAGGGTTTTGGGATCCCGTGTTCTTGTGCTGAGGGGTACCAGTATTAAGGCATCTCTGCGGCCAGGAGAGAGCCCATTGGTTTGCAAATGCCCCCTATTCGCTCTGCCAATAAATTATTGGGTCTCTGTTTCTTTCAGCCTCTCTGGTTCGGTTTGTGTAAGAATAGCTAGGGTGTGGAGAGTCTAGCGCGGCCTTTCCTCCTCTGCCTGTTCACCCCAGAGAGGCCAGCTGGGCTGCCTCCAGGCCCACGCACCACACAGGAACCGTCCCAACAGAGGGTCGGCTTTGCAGTCTGCTCCCGACTCGTTCCTAGACGAGGGGCCTTGTGCAGCCCTGGCGTAACCCCCGGGTTTCATCGCAGGCACAGAACTCAGCCCAAGGCATTGACCTGTAGATTGGTCAGCTTTAAAAATGCCCGGGCCTGCGTTCCTGCCTCCTTGGAGGACTCTTGCCGACGCTCCTGTGCCACCATCAGCCTGTCAATGGAGGGGCTTCACAGGTTTAATGGCTTCCGTTCTGGTGATCCTGCAGGCAAATGTGGTGACATTTACTCTGTCAGTGTGGCTGGCATTAGGGGAAAGCCCCATCTCCTCACAGCCAATGCGATGGGTCCCTTGCTCTGTCTCTGGGAGCAATCCAGCCTGGAGCTGTCCTGGCCAGAGCGCGGTTAGCTGGGGAGCGTGCATCCGTCTGAGAGCAGGCTGCTAGGAAGCGTGAAGGCGGCTTTAAAGTGGTGTTTCTCAACCTTTTTTTTTTTTAATAAAGTACCCCTTTTTCCAAAAAAATTCATAAGTACCCCCAGTACCTACAGTTTTCAGACACATTTTTTTTTCCTGCCATTGCAACACATTTGTTTAAACAACTTAATCGTAGCTGGGCGGACGATTAAATTTTGGGGTGTAAAAAGTACAAAAATAATAAAATGCTGTAAAACTTAAAACAAAAATTCAAGTTTTCTCCAAATTTCAGGTGTTGATGTACCCCCTCCCCTCCACTTCTGGCTTCTCTCCAGTACCCCTAAGGGGACTCGAACCACTGGTTGAGAAACACTGTGCTAGGGGATATAGGGCTAGGCACAGCTGTGTCCCTAGCATTGGCCCAGTGAGGTTGCTGGCTGAGAACACACCCTGACTCCACAGCTACAGCGGGAATGCCTAGTGCTGTTGCCACCCCCAGTGCTGCTCCTTCAGGGCTCCAGCCTTTCCCTGTCTGCTTGAGCTGACACTTTCACTTGAACAAAAACGTAGCCATTCCCTGGCCGGCCTGAAGGAGGAGCCCTCAGTCAAATTGGAGGAAAAGACGGAGAGCTGCTGTGCAGTGCCCCAAAGAAGCAGGGGATGTGATGGGTGTGGCACATGGGAATCAAGGCAGACAGCGGCTGGTATTTACTTGCAGAGATCTTTAGCCACTTCTCTCTTCCGAGGCTAACTGCAGGTTAAGACTCGAATGTGGGTCTTTGGAAATCGTGCTCTTCCTCCTGCTATCGCTTACCATCGTCCCAGGCTCTAGGAGAGCCGCGCCTGCAATTCCTGAGCAAGAACAAAAAATAGCCGCCGTTGATCTGCCTGGGCAGCGCGCCCCTTCACAGGGTGGCTGGATTGGCACGGAACAGTCGGCATGAAAATCCCCAGCTGCCCGCTCTCTATAAGCGGGGCGGGATGGGCTAGCCCCTCTCTCTGGAGCTGCACTTTTCAGGACACCTTGTCCCATTTCACCTCTTGCTGCTTGTTTACCCACTATCGGTTGCTAGGGCCTCTCTTAAACAATGAATCCAGTCCAGAGGCAGCTTGTTTTGCCTGATACAGCCAGGTAGCATTCCAGAGCGGCAGCACTTAAAATGCTCCTTTTTCAATACTACTCTGTCCTGCTGTTTTTGTAAGGGGGATTTATTCTCCGTCATAATTACACTCTGGCAATATAAGCTCGTCTGAGCTACTCTCTGCAGGCTCCTTTGAGCCATGTTGCGTTGAGCGTTTTTGCAGATGACAGTGCTTAAGGTTTTAGTCCTGTTCTTAGTCCCAGCTGTGCACAGAGTCCAGCATTGCTATTTTATGTGTTTTCAGGCTTTTCCCCTCGGACGCACGCTGCGGAAGGCTGTCCCCAGGAGCAGGCTTACTGTTAGCTCTGCTGGGGGAGCAGCCGCTCGGCTTAAATGCTGTTTAAAGTGAGCCGCCTGGATGAACTGCCAGGGGGTTGGATGGCTGTGTGTCTCCTTCCCCGGCTCCTTTGTGTTTCAGTTCAAAGATCTCTCCAAACCTCCGTCCCCTCTGCTCTGATCATCAGGAGGTGGCGATTAGTTTGCTGGGGGGGGGGACTTTTCCTACGAAAACTGATCGAGGAAGCTCCGAATGAAGGCAGTTCTGGGGAGAGGGCAGGGGCGTTACGGAGACGTGTCCGTCATGGTGGCTGGTGAGACGCGTGTTTCGACTGGGCTGTTCCTTTGTAGCCTGTTTTGCTGCACTAATAAAAACCTGCAAGACTAAACGCGTGGCCTGTTGGGACTCTCCTCCCTTAGAGTAGAAAAGGCCCCTCCCGGGGGCAGCTCCCAAATCCAAGAGAAGAGAAGCCTCTGCTGCCTTTTCAGCACCACTAAGGGCCGGGAGCGGGGCGGGGAGCTGCTCTGCCCTCGTGTCTCTGCAGTTTCACAAAACAGCGTCGTCCTTGCCTGGGGGAAAAGCCCCTTGTGCCTCCTGCGAGCCAACCTGCTCCCCCTACTCCTGTGCCTCGTTCAAGTGTTTGTCAATTCCACCCCCGTGCTGCAGAAGGAGAGGCAGGGCTGTTCTTACAAATTATGGGGAGAGGCAGGGCTGTCCTTACAAATTATGGCCCTATGCAATTGATGCCCCCCCCCCCCGATTCTGCTGGGGTCCAAGTACATCCCTCCCCCCATAGCTCTTACTAGGTTCTTCCCTTTCCACCAACCCTCCCTGCATGAATCTGCAGAGGGCCTGGGGCTTCCTTCCCCCATGCAGCTCCAGTCTGGGGATTCCCTCCTCCCACCCCGCACTGCTTGCTGTGACTCAGGGGTGTCTCTGTGGCTGGAGCAGAGCTGAAGGGGCCGAGGGCACCTCTCTGCCCCAGTCTGGCAGCAGGGAGCCCTCATTAGCCTGCTCCTGCTGACCGCAAGCACGTGGAGGAGGGGCCAGGGGGAAGCCCTGCAGCAGCCGTGAACATACAAGCACACCTGGTTGTGTAAGGGCACCCAAAAATGTGGGGTGCCCCAAATTTTCAGGTGCACCATACAGCCACGTATTTTGTGTATGCCTTGGCGGGGCCTTGAGGACAGGCCCAGGCAGGACTTGCTCCTGCAGTCCCAGAGCTGGCCAACGTCTCTGCATCATCTTTAGCTGGAGGAGGGAGGGCCCTGCCCCCTGAAAATCAGCCCCATGGTCTCTGCTTCCTTCTGTCTCCGGCCCCACCCTCCCTTGATTTGCCGCGCATGGCGCCTGTGAGCGCTCAGTGCCTGTGAAACGCAGGCCCAAGCTCGGGCAGGCTGGGCAACCAAACCAGGGCCCGGGGGAAAGGCTGGGCAGAGTTGCTGGCAGGGCGAGGGCCCTGCTGCAGAGCTGGGGTGGTGGGATGGATTGAAAGACTCCGATGCCTCGATGAAGTTGTACCAATGCCCATTCAGGCAGGAGCTCGGTCAGCCACCTAGCGCTCCTTGCCCCCTAGGTCAGCGTACCCGATACCCTCTGAAAGCCCTGGCACTGATGCCATCCACACTGTGCCAGCCAAATGGGGGCTGGTTTGGCCCTGCAGCGTCCGTACCAGCCTCTGCGCCAGCCAACACCCCCTTATGGAAACTGTCTTCCCCAAGGCCCACGAGCACGATGGCGGCAGCGAGGCCGGTGTGAGACCAGCGGAGCAGCTGTCAGAAAGCAGAGGGCACCTAAATCACCCACGGAGAGCTGCAAGCTGGGAGCCAGTGGGTCATGCGGGTTCGGTAGTCTTGGCAGGGCAAGCCCGTATAAATAGACTGCCCAAGCCACATGCCTT